AGTATATATATATATATATATATATATAGTATATATATATATATATATATATATATATATATATATATATATATATATATTAATTTTTTATGTTGAAAAACTCGGAACATTTTTTGTGTTGAAAAACATTCTTAAATCTTTAATAACTAAAATAATTATTTGATTTTATAAAAAAATTGCAAACTTATCGGCACTTAGAAAATCATAAATAATTTTATTCTTTTTCTAAATAGATTCTTTTCTAAATAGCAGTTTTATTTTAATTTATAATTTTAATTATTAAGTTGTTTAACACAAGATGTCTCAAATTTTATGGTTTAAAAAAAAGAATTTAATGTTTCAAAAAAGAATTATAACAAAATTATAAGTTGTAAAAAGTTATGTATATATACCTTATTTAACATATTTTGTACGTATATATACATTATATTATGTGAGCTTTACAATGCAAGTGCCATGAATTTATTAATAAATTTAGTGCATAAAGCATTCTCGATACGTATCGCAGAGAAACGAAAAATATGGATTTAAAAGTTTAAGTTTTGCATATTTTATTGCGTTAGTCTGCCTTATAATAAATCATGACAAGAGTTAGATAAGTTTAGTGTAAGTTTTCGCAGTCATACACACTGTTTACACTGATTTAATTTTTGTTATATATTGTTATTAGATTTTTTTGCAATTCCATTGTTTATTTCACATACAAATAATCTGTATATAAAAAGTTACGAGATTAGCTGCATACATTGAATTTATAAGGATGTCCTAATTCTTAGTACCTTGATTCGATACAATGCATACGAATATTATACATAATAATAAGTGAAATGCCGGAAATCTTAAATAATCATATTGCTTTTTCTGAAGCGGATAATTTTGATATACTTATATATCGTATCGTATGGACAACACGAGCATTGAATAATTTTAATCTTGGTGAATGATCAACGATGTACTACATTTTTTCCGCACAAGTAGCAATGGCTTATAAGTCGGATAATTAACTTTGAATAATAGAAGATGCAAGTATAGTATTGACGATTATATAGAACACCAATATAATAATCGATTTAATAATGTGTATATTCTCATATGCTTTACACGCGAAAATATTTTTTCAATTTAAGTATAATTTGTCTAATTCCAATTTCTCATTATGGTCTATTTATACACACATGTGTTTCACCGAAAATTTTCATATAAGTTATACCTGCAATTTAGAGAGATATTGAGAAATATTTAAATATACACTTAAGAACTGCAGAATAGAAACTTGTACGAAGAAGAACAGGTATTTGACCGAAGATCATATTTGGATGATAGAAAGATCAAAATGTGTATAAATAATACGCAATCTTGTCTTTAATCTGTTTAAATGCTATTATTTATTTTTGTACAGATATGTGAAATTATATAAATTAACTTTTATGCCAAAAAATAAAGAGAAGCTTAATTTTGTAGCAAAGGTTTACGCATTGTTAAACTGTTTCCATATAAATAAGAGTAATTTATTGAAAAAGAATAATTATTGAAAATGTAATGCGTATTCACTGTATACACACATGCGTATATTATTTTAATATGCTTCTACATATATATATTGCGCGATTTTTTGCCTAATTAATCATATAAATTATCTTGTTTCAAGCGCTATATCACATTAGAAAAGTGACAACTGTGATGACAAAAAATTATTTAATAAAAAGAAAAGATATTCATTCGTTGTACTAACGAATATGAAAACGAACATTTGTGAAACGATATTTTTATTACTCATACTACTCCTATAAAAATAAGAAATATTTGAAATTGTATTTTTGTGTGAAGTATATCTGTAATAAAAATATAGTTAACGTGAGAGAAATGAAGATTGGAGCTATAGATTATTAACATTGTCAACGTTACTGTGAACACGCTATATCGTTAATAAACCAAAATATGTTGTTGAATATCGAACTTACAAAATTTTTATTCAATTGCTACTAATTAATATAACTTTTATGTAAGACATTATGAATAGTTAATTTAACATAGTTTTTATTTTTAATTTTTATTCATTACTGAAGAGTACAAAAACTCTCAGTTAAAGAGATTGTTAAATGAATTGTTAAACATCTGATATATCTTAACAATTGAGCAGTATTAAAATTCATTTGTTACTATGCAGATTTTTCATAAATAAATATTCTTTTATGATGATTTAATAAAACATATATGTTTTATAATATAAATTATTTTGTCTTTATGACTATTATCTACATTAGGGATACAATAAAATTTGTATCAAAAATGATAAAATTAATTAGCAAAATTTAATAAAATAAATTTAATTATTTATTTATATCTTCGCCGATAGTTTTTTTTGCAGTAGATTCGAATTACTTTTCATATTTAATCATTGAATAAATTTTAATATTATCCTAATCTCGATCGATTCCTTGGATTGTAAAAATAATAAAAGACAATTTTATTTTTTAAGTTCTTTATTTCTTCTACTTTTTTAATAAATCAATGATTTCAGCTACTACAAATTGTGTACGAATTTTCATTTATTTACGGCGCACTATAATTTAATTAATTTGTTCGATCTCTTCGCTTATCATTTTATTATGATTACAAAAGTTCGAAGTAAGTAACCTTCGTGAAATGCATTCGACGATTTAATACATAAGCTCCGTTAGTCGTTATTATATTTCTCTTTTACGAGCTGGCGGGATGGCTCAGTGAAATACACACATAATTTTATTATATTAATTTCAGAAAATAAGAGGGCTTTTATATACTTTTCAATCTCTTAATAACAAAGTTAACGTCTCCAGTCATTTGAAAAAGTATTTAGAATACAAAGCCTGTTCTACATATTATATCATGAATCTTTATATATAAGATAGATTAAAAAGTGTATACAAATAGCAATTAATAATTCATTTCAACATTTTAAAATGTACGTATTTAAATAGAAAATTTAAATTTTTTTCTGACAGTTTTCGAATAATTTTTTACAATTAAAAAAGCAAAATCTAATAGATCTATATATTCAAATGAAATTTTTTTCCTCCTCTTCTTTCTCTCTCTCTGTGTGTGTGTGTGTGTGTGTGTGTGTGTGTGTGTGTGTGTGTGTGTGTGTACAAATAAGTTTGGTAGATAATATTTAAGAAAAACTTACAAATTCTAAAAGTCTTGCTATCAGTATATACTTTTCTTCGTATAAACAGGAAAAAATTAGTATTTTGATGGACGATTCTTTTTTCTTATATAAAATTTCTCTAAATATTATCTCATTTCTTCTTTCTCGTAAAACTGGCATAAAATGCGACAACACCAACAGCTGTTGATATTCTCTTCGTATTATTAAAACACGAAGAAAATTTCATTGTAAAATAGATTGTCAAAGGAAATAGATATTATTAAGTTTTCGATCATATGATACTATTATTTTATAGCTTTTTTTTAAATTATAAGCACGTATTATTACACGCCAAATAAAATTATTTAAAATTAATTTAAAATTAATTTTTCATCAGATATGTATGAAAAGTTATACTAGTGACTGAATACGCAAAAAAGTTTTAATCGATTACATTTTCAAAATATTTTTTGTCATAGCCAATAGCGCAATAAAGAGTGACCAGTTTTAATTTCTGATATTTATCTACTAGGACAAGTACAATGAAGCAATGTGAGATCCGAACGGAAAATAATAAAATTAAAGCATACAAAGTCTTCTATTGTAGATATATAATTTCGGAAATGTATATTCTTAAATTGGATTAAATGCTTAGTCCGATATATAAAGTGTACTCGCAGAGTAACTAAATCACTAGTTCAATAATAATTTATAAAATTGTTTGAAGACATTTTGAGCGCATTTCATCGTGATACGTGGTATGTACAATTGAAATTCGCTTTTACGATGTCTATATTCTCGAATCACAAAATAAAAGATTTAATATACTAATGCTACACCACAAAACTATGTACATCGATTATGGATAGAGCATCAATAATACCCTTTAAAACTTATTTCTAATTTTTATATATATATATATTAATCAATGTATGTCATTAGTAAATTCTTAGATATGGTTTTTTTATAGCTTAAAAGCTAGCACATGTACTTTATTTTACTACATTTTAAAAGTATATTTGATATATTCGTTTTTCAAATTACGAATAAATATTGAAAAACGTTTAAATTATAGTAATAAAAACCGTTTCCGTTTTCTAATATCAAGTTCTGAGTAAAATCGTGATGTGAGACCGGATAGAACAATAAATTCGTTCAAATATGAAACGAATAAATCATGCTGATTTATTGTTCAATCTGTTCTTATTACATTATCACTCATCATAAAGTTATATATTAATAGAAAATATATGATATTTTTTCCCTCTCTAGTCTCATGCGTTAACAAATACTTGGTCCATAATTCTTTTTGACAGAGAAATAACTCCAAAATGAAATAAATCAGTGGACATGTGCTTAATTTTTAAGCTATGCATAATATACAGTTTCTTTGCAATAAAAATATATCATGACTACTAATATAGTACTTGATTCCTGACTAGTATGTGTTTATACGAGTGACTTTCTACTTCACATATATGATACTTAAGACAGAAATATATGTATATATAAGTTAATTCACTGACTCAAAATTAAAATTTTTCACTTTACCTTATATTAATAATGCATGAATGCAAAAAATCTATAAAAAATGAATAAAGAGAAAAGAAAACAGAAAATCACTCGGGTAGATAAATTTACTTACGCTAACTTAAAATTTTGCACTCGACATTCTCATGCACGCACGAAATGCATGCTCTTCGTTATACGTTATACGTATTTATGTGTGTGTGTATACAAACACATACCCGCAAATCACGAGATATAGTAATGATTTTCTATCTGAATACACTTTTTTGAAGATATTACAATTTATGAATCCCTTGGGGCCACAAAATCTTGATAGAGAGAAATATAAATTGTTTTCTATATACCATTCTTACTTGTGTGAAATATCTAATCATGTATATGCAATCTCCTCGTAATTCAATGTGTCTTATGTATCACTTTCTACATCGTTTTTGTATACAGTATTTCATTAAGGCTTCTACTGTCTATTTTATGTTCAACTATTGTATGATTTCTTATACTTTAAGCAAAAGAAAAATCAAGAGAATATTTTTGTATTTGCGCGTTCAATGTCCTAAACAATGCTATAACAATGTTTTATTCTATTTTTGGGCAGGAAACATTTAGTAGACAGAAGAATCAGATTTTGTAAATGATCAATTGCCAGTTGCGCATAGGCCTGTACATATAAATTATACATTCTAGCACTGTAAATATTTCCTACCATTCATTACACCAACTATTTCTCAGTCTTGTAATAATACTACTCTTTAATACTTTTATAATTTATATAAAATCAGTTGCACGTATCTTTACACGTTGTGAAAAAACATTACATGTCTTCGATTTAAATTAATGCAATATTGCAATAAATTTTATGAACTTTAATGCTATTATAACAGTATAGTTTATATATAGAACACAAGTAGATAAAGTCTTAAGAATAAAAAATATTCTCTCGTATAAAATAATATTGTGTTAAAATTTGGCCTAATGGAAAAATAATTCCATATGTTGTTTAAGGAATGATATAACATAAGACGCGATAAGAATACAGCAGCAAGACAACTTTGCATCACATTAAAAAGTTCTTGATATCTAAAATGAAAAGAACTATTTCTATTTTCTTAGATATCAAGACATTAAAATCGTTTTGTGCTATAGTATACGTGTATAGTGCAAAATTAATGCTGTTGCAACTTAATAACACATCTTATAGTATGTATTGTCCCGCAAGTTCAATGCTTAGAAATCTGCATTGGTTAATGATGGCAACATTCATGATTTTGATTACAAACATTAATTTGATTACTTGCCAGGTAAGTATAATAATGTATAATGAATTTAAAACAAAATTCTGTGCATTAATTATATCGGCCTTATAAATGTATAACTCTAAGGTTTTATTATTGCGTTTAATATCACTATTATGCTAACTTTCTCAGCATGATATATTTACTGTATGTGCAATATTATATGAATTATATCCCCTCTCATAAATTTGTAATCTCTTCTCCTGTGAAAAGAGAATAATGAACCTCATAAAGAAATGAGAGTAGAAAAAGTATAAAATTCTAAATATGCATATTTATACTTATAAAGAAAGATATTAGAAATAGAATATCATATTAGACTTTTTAGACTTAAAATGATCGTTGTAAATATATTACTTAACTTAATAGTTTATCTATTTGTTTCTAATATATTAAATACAATATGTACCGCGTTAAAGAATAGAAATAAATATTTTTGGTAAACACTTCGTAGAAACGTGTGTATAGCACACACTAATCACAATTAAATAGTTCAAGTATATGAGCTATTAAGTACAATGCAACAATAAATGAAATGAAAATAAATGTGCAAACAGAATGAGAAAGATTGTTACATTTGCATTAAGTTACGATACTTTACAATATCAAAAAGATATTTAGTAAAACATAATGGAAATGTAAAAGATAAATGCCTTAGAAAAATGTATTGCAATAAAAATCGGAAAACTCATATCGAAATCCTGAAATAATTCGATCTTTATATATTTCATAAATCTTAGTCAGAAATATTTGTTTATAATCTATATATAGTACCGTCTTTGATTGCCCAGAGACTATGGTATTTACATGTACCACGTATGTCTCATTAGAAAGAAGACCATTAAAGGCTGTAACATTTTATCTTAATCTTTAAAAAATAACTTGTAAATATGAAAACCCTGTGAATGTTATGCAACTGTCTATACTCAGTGCATTTTTTTGGTTGTACAGAATGTGGATAAATATTTTATCAATCAGTACAAACAAACGGTCTCTAATGGAATTTTCCAGATATGAATTCTTAAAACTTTATAGTGTATAATATAATATAATCGATTACAATTGTGATGTTTTCAATGCTTTAAAAATTTGTTACATTGAAATTATCTCTGTTTTATACATTTTTAAGTTAAATTTCTAAAGTCTAGAAGAAGATATAAATTAACGTTCAATATATATATATATTTGAACTAATATCAAAAAAAATATAATCTAATCTTAGAATTTGGGGCACATGGCTCAATGTCTAAAGTAACAAGATTGTTAATCTATAAATAGCAAGTATTAAGCAAGCTTAATTTTCGCTTCATATATTTACGATATTTAATCTCGCAGTTTTTTGAGAATTTCCTGTGAAAACTTAAAACAGACTAAGGGCAATGCATAAGACTTGAATTAAAAATATAAAAAAAAAAGTTTAGAACATGGAGAATTCGGATGAGATCCAAGGAAAGTGTAAAAAAAGAAAATAGTAAAGTGCTATATAATTCTTTAGAGCTAGAAATACTCCAAAAATCTAATGTTAAAATTTTGTTATGTTTTAATTTTTTTATTATAAAATTTTAAGAACTCTAATCAGAAATTCTAAGAGTCATTAATCTCATTCAATTTTTTCCAAGATGACTGTACAATAGTCTCTATATAGAAGTATACTCACATACAAAATAAGAAAGTATTTAAAAAACGATATACTCATATAAAGTATACGATGCATATCTTTTTACTCTAGGGCAGGATTCTTATTATACAAACTATTAGTTTCTTATTGAGCATATTTTAGAAATTGTTTGAGTCGTTGTAGGAAGTGTTTGATTACTGACATTATTTCGACTATACGCTAGTACCTAGATTTTTGTAGATTGATGTGGTTCTTTTTTTATATTTTTTTAGATTATGATTGTGCTCTTTAGAGGAAGACTTTATGAAAACATCAATAAACATCCGAATTTAATTAAAGAGCGCTTTCGTGTCCTTAAGAATTATTCATTTTTGATTATTTGGCATATTATACTACGTATATGTGTTGAATGACAGATATTTTAAAAAGAGTGCTTGTAACACCAGATATCTGCGTATAGTGTAAATAGTCACAATGCCCCAATAATAATTTCTACCGTGAATAATCTTACTCATTTGTTTGGAATTCCTAGGAACTTCAAGTTTTCAACTCTTTTTTCCAAACAATATTATTACGTTTAAGCTTCCTGTAAAAAAAAAAATTAATCATTATATAAAAATCAAATTATTATATTATCAAATTATTATATAAAATCAAATTATTATATAAAATTATAAATTATAATTCCTTAAAATTACGTTATATAATA